ATTACCCCCAGCCATTTTTTATAATTAAGAAGACTTAATTTACTCCACATTACGAAACACCAACCTTTCTTTCTACCCTTGATTCATAGATATTGTCTACCCTCCGACCACAAACTTCCGACGTAAATCATTCAAATTCGAGTTCCCTACTTCCCAAAAGAAGACCACGAGTGATATCCTTTCACAGATTCGATCTATAATATGCCCGGTTGAGAAGACAACACCTTCTAGCCTACCCAGCTCTCCGGCCGGTGAATTCATGCAACTGGTTCACCTACTTTTGCAGACAGACGAAGGCATGCAGACACAGCTGGCCGACCCTGATTTTTTGAAGGATGGCTGTGACAAAAAGAAGTAAGCTAGATCACTAGCGTCATGTAAATTCCAAGTTTATTATAACTAGTTTTATGGATTACTACAGTAAGAGGTTTGATTACATCGATTATGGATAAGCTACTCATCTGTCAGGACAGTAGTATCATGATTTGTATCCAGAAAACGGCTACGCAAAATTTTGCAGGCTTTTTTTGCTCATAAAAAAAAAATATATATATATATATATATATATAACATTTAGACAGTGTGGCTTTATCCTACATGCGATATATAGTCAAAACCAAAAGAAAATTATAATATACAAATATATAATGTTTTGGTCAGTTCTCTAGCCTCTGTTTGTGGGTGTGTATGTGGCTTGGTGTTGACGCCTACACGCACTAGCGGACCAACATCAGCCTCGGGTCACACAGGCTTAAGTACCCAAATAAAAGCATGATCGGTATTGCATTAGTCCGTAAGTCTGTACGCAAGAACGTCAGGTTACGAAACCACCAGTCAGAACATGTTAGGCTGTGGTCATTAGGGCATTGATGGGATTGCGTAATCTGGTATTTTTGTTTTAGCTAATGATATTAGCATTCCTGTTGGACGAGTGTAAATTTGGTCAAAGGTAACATTCGGCTGACAGGTTGAGTTGCCTTCTTTAGATGACGACTACAGACATTCTCTCCTTTAATTTTTCAATCTGGCACAAGTGATTCTTGCTCAAAATTCTACCTTCATTCTTCATATTTAACATATTCCCTAATCTATTAGTTTCAGTAGCCTTTCGTATCTTGCACTTCGTAGCAGACATACCGTATCTCTGCGTCTGAGATCATTCTCGTTCATAGTCAATCTAAGAAATGTATCCGCCATTGAACCTTAATGACTTCAGAATAACGGGCTTACATCTCATCAATTAAACCAGAGTTACTTACGAACTAGCACAATCTCGATCATGCTTTTGCTTTGCTCATTAAGCCTCGATGCTCTGGGGCTAAGGTTAAGTTTTCTTCTGACCAACCTGAGTCATGGCCAGGAATGTATACAGGCGTTAACATACATACACACACACATACACGCATAATTGGGTATAGGGCAACCAACCAAATTATTCTATATTAATCTATATCTAAATATTTTTTTCGCTATCAGAATTTTTATATCATGTAAGAGAGAACCTGTTG